TGCGACCTAAAGCGACATCTCTCTCTCTTTATAGCAGATTACTTAGGGAGGTAAGTACGGTATTTTGATTCGACGAAATCAAAACTTGCGACACTTCATAGGTAGGTACCTTCTATTGGCTATTGGGTACTAAGATGTCTAAAATATACTGTCCTTTCCAGTGTGTGTATTAAATAGTCATTTACACACAATACCAATTTACATTGGTAAAAATCACGAAATCATTCATTACATAAGTATTTATAACCTAAGTATTTGTATAAAAACAACTCGTAGGAAGACCTTACGGGTTGCCGGGGCTCCGGCTCGAAGTGCAGGAGTAGGAACGGGGTGATTTTTAGTCAGTAAGAGTCTGACACTCCCTTCCCCCTCACCCAGGCGAGAGAAGCTATTTAATGATTTTCAAAAAAACTAATACATTTATCTCAAGCAAAGCTTTTAAGTCCTACAGAAATTAAGTGCCTTTAACAACACCGGGAACATGTCTTGGCGACAAGCCAACAGCCTTGTAGATCAATAGACGCATCCTTGCCTGTCGCATAGACAATAATCTTGACACCAAAATCTCCCGCCATTAAAAACTGATCCAAATTAAATAATTGTTTTTTTTTCGTTATAACTATGAGTATGAGATTGGTTACCACAGATACCTATAATATTTTTTTAATATTCCTGTGTCGGTTCAATTCAACCTTGATTCTAGCTTACTCATCAATTGTTATAAAACAGCCTACTGCATATTGTGGTTGTAGGTAGAGGTAACAATACTATTAGACGACGGCCATATTGAAAAAAAAATGTAGCAATGTTTTTTTTGTAACATTTACCTATATCGTCATTTTTGACATTGAAAATACGCCCTATGCCCAGTACCTAGGTAGATGTAATTGACTTCACGTTTGGCGCAATGGTTGTGGGCGACCGGCTGCTACGCAACGTGTCGCAGGTTCGATTCCCAAACAAACGATTCTTTTTGAGATCTACAAAATGGTTTATATGGGTTTCGGTTCGGTGTGCACATTAAACGCAGACATTCAAATTTTGTAAACGCACCCACAAATCCTACCGCGGGACAAAGTTTTAGCAAAATAATAAAAAAAAACATCTAACCGTACCCATGTACTTTTTTTTTCATAGACCCGGGCCTGGGCGGGTCCTAACACTGCGACCAGCAAGCAGCCACCCACACACAGGTAGCAGCTTCCTTTATATTTTCGGGATCTCAATTCGCCTCTTATGTATGTATGAGGGAGATCTTCGTTCAACACTGTAAGAATATCATTAGGTAGTTAAAAGATTCAAGTGTGGAGAGTTATGCTTCGGCACGAATGGGCCGGCTTAATACTTAGCCGGAGTGATACCACGGCCTCACAGATAACCGACGTGAAACAACGCTTGCGTTGTGTTTCGGCGTGTAAGTGAGGTTACCGGAACCCTAATTCCCAACAAATTCCCAATTTCCAAAACGGTAACGCACTTGTAACGCCTCTAGTGTTATGGGTGTCCATGGGCGGCGCCGATTGCTTACCATCAGATGATACGTCTGCTCGTTTAAGGGCTTGTCAGATAAAATAAATATTCAGTCAACTAAACTTAACTCCGCATACTATCGAGTTACACGCTACCCATATCAAGTCTCCTGTTTTGCAGACTGAAACAGTTTTATAAATCTAATCTCATCCTAACTTACAGTGGCTAGCAGATCAGCCTACTCCTATTTGTCAAATTAGAGTACAAAGCTAAACAATGTGTTCTTTGTTTATATCAGAGACATTGTAGAACATACTTTTTTAAAAAGAGTAACGAATGGAGTTTCTTGCTCGTTCTTCTCCATTCGAATCTACATTTTGGAATGAGCACCTAGCTTCACTGACGGACTAACTGATAAACTATTATTTATTTTGTATTTGTTGACGTTCCAAAAGTACCAAATTATGGTTTAATTGAAAAAAATGCTTTGACTTTTTTATGTTTGTTGAACTTTCCAGTTAAGAAGGTAAGTTTGTACTGTACGCTGTTCATTTCCTAAAGAAAATGATTAAGTTAGCTACAAGATTTCTATGTAGGGACCTACTTACGTATAATTTATTTTATAGACCCGCATGACCACAAACTTGCTAAACTCTAACTAGAAGAGTTTCTCTTGCGTCCTGAGTGCGAACGAACAAGCATATTATATTATCACATACATAACATAACATCACGCCTTTTTATCCCCGAAGGGGTAGGCAGAGGTGCACATTATACCACTGTACAATGTAACACCCACTTTTCACTATTTATGTTATGAGTCCCATGTAATAGGGGGTGAGCCTATTGCCATATACCGGGCACAATTCCAGACTCCGTGCTACTACTGAGAATATTTAAAAAACCCAGTAATACTTTGCCCGACCCGGGAATCGAACCCGAGACCCCTTGCCCGGCAGTCGCATTTGCAACCACTCGGCCAACGAGGCAGTCTATTATCACAGCTAGGTAAAGCCGGAACAATAATGTATGGTTCACACAAACACATTGTTCAGTGAGGTTTATGCGGAAATCGAGCCTGTGACGTGTTACCTAGCAAGCAGATGCCCAAGCACTATACCAGGCAACAAACCCTACAGGTCATCAAATTACAAACTAACACTCACTTTTCACTATTTATGTTATGAGTCCCAGAATTTTTTTAAAAACCCAGTATTAAAGAAGGGCCAAATTAAAAGTACCCTAAACCGACAAGCATGCATTAAAAGATTGATGACTGTTGATGAAGCGAGAGATACCTCTTTCACTTCATGTATCTATAAGATATGTAGGAATGTATGTATAAGATATGTAGGAATCGTAGTACGTAATTGGCGTTCCCTAGTCTCTGCCTACCCCCATGGGACTTCGGAGTCAGGCGTGAAGTTATATAAGTATGTAATACTTTGCCGCACCCGGGAATCGAACTTAAGACCCCTTGTCCGGCAGTTTCTTCAATAAACTTTCGGCTTCTTTTAATTTATCCATTTGGTTTAGCTTAACATGCTGGGTTCTACAGTCGTTTATTACACTCAGCTCCAAGTCCTGTTGTGTTGTTTCCGGCAGCTCGTGTTGCGAGCTCAGTGATTGATGTAGGTTGTGCGTGACAGACGCCCGGACACGGGAGGACAATATCTTTCCTGTTGATAATAATGTAGATACAGATACCCAAGCAGGTATTGTTAGTAGGTAGGTAGTAATTATTATAGAATGTTGTCTTGCAGCCGAGTGGAGAGTCGTATTGTAGTCGGAACAAGACCTCAATCTACTGCTAAACATATTTATGCCTCCCCAATGATGTCCAGATCCGTCAGTCAGAAGTAAACTCATTCACCGACCTCATGGAAAACGTTACACACGTTCACAAGGAAATTAATAATCTTATTGTTCCGTTCAGAACTCAAACCTTTGACAGGATGTTGATGGCTACCCACTATTCAACTCAACTCCTAGGCTTTTTATTATGCCATAAAACGGTATATGAGCAGACGGATCACCTGATGGTAAGCAATCGGCATCGCCCATGGATACCTGGAACACATGAGGCGTTACAAGTGTGCTACCGGTCTTTTGGGGATTTGGAGTTTGAGGATTGTTGAGGTTGAGGGGTAATTAGGACTCCGGTAACCTCACTCACACGACGAAACACAACGCAAGTTGTTTCACGTCGGTTTTCTGTGAGGCCGTGGTATCACTCCGGTCGAGTTGGCCCATTCGTGCCTAAGCATGGCTCACCCACACTTAAAACTTCGGATACCTACTAAAAAACAATTTTACAATTCTTTCTTAGACGACCTAAAGCTATCTTTCAAAATAAATCACCATATCACAATTTGTATAGTAACTATGTGATGGTCCAACTAATAGTCCTGTAGCGTGCCACCAATTGTGAGCGCACGTCAATCTGCAGTCGAGTGGCGACCTCTACCGGGATAGTAATTGTTTAATAGAAGTGCTATTTTAGTCACTGTGGTTACAAGGTCATGTAATAACTTCTGTCTGATGTTGATTGGAAGATCCTGATGGATTGTCTCCTGTCCAGCAAAAATAGTGTAGTTATGGATATGGAATATCTGACTGCTACTATTTACTATACCATAATTATCATTTGAAGTAGACAACTTAGGAAAGCAGCTTGTAGGCTGCAAACTTAAAAGCACACCAATAAAAATATCATTACATGTTACATGGATGATCAGTGTTGGGCGTAGTTACCTACTATTTACGCGTAGTTGTTAACTACATTCAAAAATAAGTTATTAATCTAACTACCTACATGAAGTTGTTATTTATTTGTTTACTGGTATCTAGTAGTTATAACTAGGTACTGATTATTTGTCTTTTTAGTTAAATACTTTGCAATTAAATTAACACTGTTGTGTTATATAAAGTTTTAGAATCTGACTGCATAAAAAATCTTCAGTTCACAACTTCAACTCAATTTGAATAGGTTATTTGCGATGTCAATTGGACTAATCATTCAAATATCCCAAGTACACGTAAAAATATAATATTTTAGCTACGTCTGTGACGGGCTTTAGTTTTTTATAAAACGAAATATTATTTCAAATGTGTGGTTATGAAAGTACTCTCCTCGCATAATCGTGATTATAACCCCCATACTTACTATACTCTTTGATTATAACTACAACTATTAGTTAATAATCAGAATGTTTAACTTTTTTACGATTAATTATTTAATGTAATCTGTAATCATGATTATTAACTACTTTAAGTAATTTCGTCACCAAAAAAAATGCTACTCTCTACATAATATTATCAGTTGACTACGGCTACTAGTTATACTAGAACTTTAGTCATTATTCATACCTGAATATGTACTATAAATTATGACTATAGTTCATATAAAAGCAAATAAAATCAAAGTGTTGTAACTGAAAATACAAGCTGTAGAGACGGGAGACCGCAACACAAAGCCCAGAGAAATAAAACAAGTAGATTTCTTAATAAAATATATTAGGCAGTTGTGCCTACGCGTCAGCGATGGTGACCTCAACCTCTACACCAGGTTCGATGTTGATTGAGGTGATCTGCTTCACAATCTCAGAGGGCGAGTGGAGGTCGATCACACGCTTGTGGATGCGCATCTGAAAGCGGTCCCAGGTCTTGGAACCCTCACCGCAAGGAGTCTTACGTGTGGTGATGCGGAGCACCTTGGTTGGCATGCGCACGGGTCCCTGGAATTCAGAAATTATCATTTAATATACAATGAATTAGTAATGTCATGTACCACCCTTCTCTTCCCATGGGTGTTACAATAGTCGTCTAACACATGATATTTAAGAGACGGCAGGTTACAGCATTCTCTGATGAACCTCCTTGTAAAATTTTATTACATCTTTAGTTTAGGCTATCATAAGGTCATTTCATATCACAATACATTATATTGAAAAACTAATGAAAGAATTGTTGGTAGACACACACCTCTTTAACCCTTATGTCAGTCACTAGTGCCCGATGCAAGAGTTTTGACTATCATCATATTAAACTTAGGAGTTAAAAGTGTTAGGAAAGTAACAAGCAGTTTCATTAAATTTATTTATAACAATACCACAGATATTTGTATGATGTGTGTAACTCTCAGATGAACAATATGCTGTGTGTATACTAGCATAAAGCACTTTCGAGAGTATCACTCTAGCGCCGACAGTGAACACAACTGCATGACACAAGCCATGCTGTGTATGGTAACAACTGGCGCTGTCTTTCTACCACATTAGTTACTGAAGGATAGCAAATAGGATTTGCAAAGATATCCGGCAATATGTGTACTGGACATGTGGTGTAGACTAGTTCATCATCGGTCTGTAACTGTCCGACTATTGAATGAATAAGCAAGGCAGATTGGCAATTCCAAACTTGTATGTAACAATCATTATAAGATTTCTTCACAAAGTTTTCCTTCATTGTAATTCCATGGTGTCTAACCCATTAAAATTCAACCCCTAAATTAGTTCATACAAAAGTAGTCTATAAACATTGGAAATAAGGTCTATAATGTAGTTAGTGAAGAGCGGTCACTGGTGCCCGCTTAAATTATCAATAATCCTCCTTGTAATATTTTATTTCATTTTTAGTTTAGGATATCATCCAGTTTGCGATAAGGTCATTTCATATCCCGCTTGGGGATGTATGGGCTAAATAGGGTATTTTGTTTTATGGACATTGCCGAACATACAATTATTTTCAATCTTTATAGTAAGAAAGAACTGTTAAAAAATGAATGTTGGGCTTGGGCTTGGTGATACTACAATTAAGTACTAATAACGGAATATAATTTCACCTTAACACGGAGCTTCTGTTTCTTGGCACCGTTGATGAGGTCAGCGCACACCTTCTCCAAGGAGCGCACGTTGCGGGAGGTCAGGGTGATCCTGATGCGGTGGATGGGCGAGATCTCAGCCTGAGGCTTCTCGATGTCCTTGCCTGACACGACGGCGGCTGCCTAGAATTTGGTAAAATACAAATAATTATTTAGCTTGGTCAGTGGATTATGTTAGGGGCAGACTCATGGTGCTTGTTGGTAAGGTAAAGGTGACAGGCTATGAACACATGTTAAGTGATTGGAGTAGGTCCTAATCCTAATAAATGATATAAATGAGTTTTTGTTATTGTTCTATGATAGTGTCATAGGAACGTACGGCTATCTATCAAGCGACAATAAGTTTAAGTATTCTAGAATCAACTATGTATACACGAGGAGTTGTGTATCCATAGTTGGGTAAATTTCAAGTTATAACAAATTAAATAGCCTACAGATTTAAATCTGTATTCGTTGTAAAAGGAGAACTTCTCGCTTGTTACAAATGTATATTGTTGACACGTGCATAGATAACCTCAAAGTTTAATGTAAAGTTAATATTGCTGAATAACAAAATTTATTCTGAAAAATATATACCGGCGTGGGAATAATATAATTACTTACCATTTTGTTGCGGTATTCCGGTCGAGATAAACAATTTAAAGACAAAATTGCACAGCGCTGAACCGGAGCACAGCTTCACTTTACTTAATGAATGAAAGAGAAAGAGAATGAAAAAAAAATTAAGATGTCAACATTTTGGACTTACGTTTCGTTAGTTTCAGAGCGAAGTGATAGATTAATAAATATTATTTTTGTGATTAAATTGGTCAACAGGAAAAAAAATAAAAAGCATAAACTTTTATTATTTAAAACTCATATTCTGAAAATAATACTCTGAAAATAATTCACTACACTTTAATTAATCGATTCACTTAAATGAAACGAAACGCGTTGAATTTCGATTGTGTATCTCTATGGTTTTTGATTCAGTGTTACTATATTGAAACATTTTACCACATTATTAGTAATTTTAGATAACTGAAACTTCGATAAAGACTGTTTATAAAATACAAACGTTCCTTCTAAAGAAAAGAAGTTCGTAACATCATTCGTTTATAAAAATTGGTTGCCTGTAAAGTCGGTATACGGGCGAAAGTTTTACGTGACAACGACTTTGAGTAGTAAAATAATTTTAATGTGAATATTCATTCGTATTATGTCTGTCTCTCTCGCTCTTAGGCAGGCTAACCATGCCCGAGTGGAAGGGACGCGTGCCTCTCACTCGCTCTCATTGTGAGCGCATAACGTGAGCGGAGCGTAACGCAGTTTCTTGAAGTGTCACCCGGCAAACCAATTTATAAGACGTTGTCACGTCAAAACCATCAATAAACAACGAATATATTATTAATAGACGATAGTAGCCAGTAGTCAATAAACACAACACACCTACACATTAAATGAAATATAAAATAAGGTACCAGTAAATAAAGCTTCATTTATTAAGCATAATTTATTATGGATATAAACAGTCAAACATCAACTGATGTCAATAAACTTAAAGTAAATTACAAAATTATAATAACAGTTAATAATAAAATTGTGTACAGTCACCAGCATTTAGCATAGTGTCACACGTAAGGGAAGTATCAATTATTAAATAATGTTTTTATATTATAATGGCATTTAGGATAAATAATACAGAGCCTACATTTAAACTTCAAACATTATTCAATAATGTCACGGATTTAGCTGACAAAATATCCTTAGGTGTTTTTTGGTGATGATGACTGTACTTCACCTAAGCATACTGAGAAATCAGGATCAAACATTGTTAAGCATAATATTCTTGACTTGTTTGTCGAATTTCCTGTAAACAAAAATTTGTTGATTATTATACTTGGCTAATCGTGTTTCTTTAATTACATTTGAGATAAAATTAAAAATATTAGAAAGAAATATAAAAAATCATCTTACAGGGAAGTAATTTGATCTCCAGGCAAATGGAATGGGTTACAGATAGCATCAGCATAGAGTGCGTGCAGACGGCGGAGCGCGGTCCTCACTTCAGCATCACGAATATTGGAGCCACTGGGAGACGTAGACGAGGTCACTAGAACCAGCTTGATGCGCGTGTTAGTCACGTAGCCGTAACTGAAATTGAATAATTACGAATTAAAAACACGGTTAAACAGACTAATAAATTTAAGGTGTTTAAGATTTCGCTTGTCGACTATCTTCTAATATTGTAACTTACATTTTATGAGTGTCGGTCGAATATAGTAGACCTAAGTAGAGATCTCTCAGATCGGTGCGAGCGGCGGTCGTGTTGGCACCTGTGTTATTAGTGTTAGTACTTGCAAGTCTCTCTTCCAAAGCATCCAACGCGGTGTGCACGAGCCATTGACGAGACAATTCATTATCAGTGCTTGTATCGTTGCCAATACCACCGATATATAAAGGCGAATTCTAGAAAACAGAACATATATTATATTTTTCAGTCACATAAAATTCATATGGGGTAATTTTATTTTACACTGGCAAGAAAAGAGTTGTCATTTAGTATTAGTTTTTTAATATGGCAGTTTTCCAATTTTCTCGTAATATAAAACCGGTTTGCTAAGATTGATATTTTTTCGATTCCTATTCCGAAACAATAGAAATCAATGTAGTGAGAAATAGTGTATCTGTGTTGTTTTCTCATTTGTCTATGCAAATCACTATTGACGTCATCATGAAATATGAAGTGACGTGTGTGAGTTAAAAAAATATTACATTACATTTTTCGTCAGGCGGATTTGCTACATTTGTATTATAATATGGTGTAATTTTAAACAGTGATGGTGCCCGTGATCGGTTTGTAAGGTAATCGTAGTGTTAGCGTGTGATAATGCTATGAATACTCACATCTTTGCCGATAACTGCGACACAGACTGCCATTGTTGATAATAATTCGGCGGAAGTGTTCTCCAGACTAACGCTACATTGACATTTCTCGACATTCGCGGGAATTTCGAAATTGTGGTGCGCACCGTGCTTCCTTTGGCCCCGTAAAAATAATTGGTGGTGAATTTTCTACGTGATAAACATATATAATATCGCAATGGCTATTAACGACGAGCTTGTATACGAAGTTAATGAGAAGGGCGAGAATGTTCTCGTTCAATCAATAAATTCAGATCACCAAGCGTATCTTCGCTTTACAAATCGAACAACGCGCGCGGTGGACGTGTGGTGGCGTGATTTTGCTGGGAAGAAACGGTTTTACGAGCGGATGGAGCCGGGCGCGTTCTACGATATCAACTCGTACCTAACGCATCCTTGGGAGTTCACTGACGCAACGACCGGGGAAAGCTACGTGATCAACAATAAGATTGTATTCAGGGCACCGGAGCGCGCGGGCGACCTCCGGTACAGGACGAACTGGAACATCACTGTGCCCGTGCGGACCTTGAAGAGCACGGCCATGCAGACCCTGGCGTCACTGCTGCCTAACCCACACGCAGCCTCCGAGCTTGATCTGCCCAATGTACTGTCCCGCGAGCTGGCAGAGGTGGTGATCAAAATGCGCCGGCCTCCTACGGTGGAGGATCAAGCGGAGAACACATGGTGATGGCTGTACATGCCAGTGGTGGTGCTGTTGCTCACACTGGCTGGTCTGATGCTGCTCTGGTGTGTATCTGTGAAGAGGTCTCACAAAATAGGTTTGATCATTCTTTTCTTTTCTGTCTGGCATCTGTTGAATGCGCTGCAAAACCCCAGCGTGGAGTCTAGTCTGATTGATTACACAGAGCAGAGTGTGGTGAGGAAAGTGTTCTAAAGGTGTTTTAAAGAGGTGACATTTCTATTTGGCCTGTTTCTTAAAGAAATGACGGACGGTGCTGTAGACAGAAAGTGAGAGAATACTGCAAGTGAAATAATATTAAACTTATGTTATTGTAAGCTATTATTAATGTATTATTTACTCACAAGTGAGTAAGTTATTCTGTTCATTGTGCATTTATCTAAATTCCTTTAGTTTATATTGACTAATATTAATGTGATCTGGTATTGTTAAGTGACTACTAATTTGGTAACTCGTTGAATTATCAAATAGTTTTCTTAATTGTCACAAGCATTGTAGGCTGCTTTTCATTTTATTGTATAAAATTGTACATCCATAGATTTATATCTATGGATACATATCCACACCATATCTCCTTCTTTATTATTAAAGAAGGAGATATGGTGTGGAGTCAAAAATGTGTACAAAACCCATAGGTACTTTTTTAATATTTCTATGAGTATATCTACATCAAACAATATTTGATTGATATTTTACCAATAAATTCACAGTTCTGCTGGTTGCGACGTAAAAATGATATTCAGGACTAAATCTGATTTATTCCTGTTCTGCTACTTATTTTAAAGCTTATAACACTGTTACAATGCAAACATTTTAATGAAATTATCCCATCTCTCTTTTGCTTTCTATTTATATGTAGGCCTTGTCCTGCCTTCACAACTTCTCCTTTATACACACACACTTCTAAATCTTAAAATAACAGTTATTTAAATATAGTAAACATAGTATTTAAATATAGTAAACGTAGTATATGTCCCAGTCTACTAGCTTTATAAGCCATTCAATTAACAGCCTAGCCTTTTAATTAAATGCCATTGCAGTACAATTATTTCTAATAGCGATTTGATTTCTGCAGTTATAACATAATCTAATTCACATTTCTGGTAGTCATACAGTTTTAATAACAATTCTTTAATCTTTCACCAGCCTTAATGAGATATTTAACCATTCAATCTAACAGCAAACCATTAACTCGTCGAGTACCGGTTTTATAGACACAATTAATGAACAATAGGTCGCGGTCACCGGTGACCGCTTGGTGTTTGACAGTTTAAGTGAGTTGGCTGCGATATATATTACATACTTGTATTTAAATATATCTGTATCATTAATATATTTTAGTTATGTACTGGTAACCCAAATGTCACAACCGCAAAGGTCATAACGAAGGATTAGATTATTTTTATGATAATAATGAAGTATACTCAACAATATTCATATCATAACAGTTTTAATTTTGTAGTAATTGATTTTAAACATATACATAATGTAAGATACGTATGACTGTATGCGGAGTATGTTAATGATGATAAATGTAATCGGTCTATTATGCTTATTTGATTAATATAATGTAAATTTTTAATAATACAATCAAAAATTGTTGTTTTATATTCTGTTGTAGCAAGGAATATACAGCTTGGCAAAAAAGAGTTTAGCTTAAATGAGGTTGTTAGTATCGTACACAACAACTCAATCGGTGTTGATATATTTTGTTATTTTTATCTAATGAGGAGTACTGTTCCAATGATTGTTTATTCATGGGATATAATCTGAAGTGGATAATTCAGTCCAAGTGAATAGTAGTAGCAGCTGTCACCCCATCAAAACATTTTTTGCCAAGCTGTAAATTAATTACCTACTAAGGCCATAATAGAGTAATAAAAAAACCAAAATTATAAATCTTGGTTGGCTGGTCACATGATATTTTTTTGATGCAGATTGCAGATGTTATAATCTATTTAAAATGAGTCATTCTTACATTCTGTTTGCAGTCCCCAAAATAGATATGTTCGGTAACTAGAATGTTGGAATTGGAATGCAAAAGAAGTGTGTAATTAATTTAATTCATAGCAAAGTACATAATAATATATAACAGGTATTTTAAAGTATTCTCAGTGTATTTACTGTGCATTTAATGGATCATAGATTATTAGTCACAGATATCTTCAACTTTAGATTGCCTAACAGTAGAATTGAGAAATAATAATGTATTAAATCACTTATTGTCAATAGTTTTAACATAACTAAAGTATTGTTTAGGCACAATGATGCCTAATTCAATTTATCTAAACTCTATATGTGTGAATCTCATGTCGATAGCTACTTGTGTTAGATCATACGACTAAAATAATGCAATGATTTATTATATATATTTATGTAAATAGTACCTATTTATAATGTTATTTTTATGATAGAAATTATGAATTTAACAATTGATAATATTATATTTTATATTGAAACTTTGGAGCGGTTTTTATTAATTGTGTAGTTTTACGTGCCATGCATATATAATTTTGATGATTGTTGGCAGATGCGGATTAAACCTAGAGCACGCCGTAGGCAGGCACCCATAGGCGCCCTATTTTTTTTGGCGCCGCCGTCAATCTATACATTCGCGTCTGGCGGCGCCCCACTGTAACCCGGCGCCCTAGTCACTTGCCTATTTGCTTTAGGCATAATCTGTCTCTGATTGTTGGTAATATTTAAGAATTATTATACATATTATACTTAGTAGTATATAATATTACTTAATACAATTAACTAATGTGTATACATACAATAAAACATCTAAATGTTTGATGTAATCAATAATCATAATCAATAATAGTTACTTTGTTTTATTTCTCCCTGATGATTCTGGCTACAGTGTGGATCTCTGAATAGGTAGGTAATATGTGTCCTCGATATTACGAATGAAAAATTAAGATAATGCAAGGCCTGCATTTTATTATAACATTGCCTTTTACAGCCTAGGAGAGTTCAGCAGACGCGGGAAGTCCTTTAACGCCGGACACTTGTATTATCTCTATAACTAATAACGCGGGCGATTCAATTTTTAGGGGGAAGTCTCCCTGGCAAACATCTGAAATGTTTAGTAAAAATTGAATCGCTCGTGTTATCAGTTATCGAGATTTTACAAGTGTACAACACTAACATCTACATACTTTTCATCATTTACCCTGAGATGTGTGAACGAAGCATTTTAATACAGCCGAAAAAGCCGTTTTCCTACCTAGGTACTTCAACAACTGCAACTGCCAGGGTTCAGCAGCTCGCGCGTGCCTCAAGGAGCTATCAGACCACCACAGATGGGGCCCAACAGGGCTGATGCCGATACGGAGCCGCAGAAAACTTATAGGGTTACCGGGGCTCCAGCTCGAAGTGCAGGAGTAGAAACGGGGTGGTTTTTAGTCAGTAAGAGTCTGACACTCCCTCCCGCCTCACCCGGGCGGGAGAAGTCATTGGATGATTTTCCCCCTCAAAAAAAAAGGGCTCAGCAGTTGCATAACATAACATCACGCCTTTTATCCCCGAAGGAATAGGCAGAGATGCACATAATATGCCACTGTAGGTACAATGTAACATCCACTTTTCACTATTTATGTTATGAGTCCCATGTAATAGGGGGTGAGCGTATTGCCATATACTGGTCACAATTCCAGACTCCGTGCTACTACTGAGAATTTTTTTAAAACCCAGAGTAATACTTTGCCCGACCCGGAAATCGAACCCACTCGGCCAACGAGGCAGTCAGGTTATTTATTTATTTATGCACAACACACAGACAGTACACAGGAAAATACAAATATATAAATAAATTGGAGGTACGTAGGTACTACATATTATTATTCCCGTAGGAATCTCTTCCTGCAGTCCTTCGATAGGAAAAAACAATAAAAACTAAGACACTGTGTGCAAGTTGTTTTATCTTTTTTTGACGGAGACGTGAACTAAGTTACTGGAATCAGTACATACGTAAGTTCGTTACTTATTCTTATCTGATAAAATGAGCGAGTGTTTTGATTTCGATGAAAAAATAATGATAGGTAAACACTATACATAAATCTATATAGATAATGATAGCTAAACACTATACATAAATCTGTGTCGCGGAGAATCTAACGGGTAACCGGGGCTCCGGCTCGACGTGCAGGAGAAGGAACGGGGTGGTTTTTAGTCAGTAAGAGTCCGCCTCACCCAGGCGGGAGCAGTCATTCGATGATTTTCCCCCCTTAAAAAAATACATAAATCTGTCCCTATCTAGTGACGCAACTTCGTTTTTGTAAACCAGTTGCAACGAGAACCGTTTCAAAAACTAGATTTTGTAACCACGAAAACGATTACTTGTATAAAATACGAAGATTCTAATATTAGTGTCTTTGGCCATAAAATCGGCAACGATCAACGAATGATCCCCTACTACTTCCCAGTGTACCGCCGACTGCAACGCTACACACATCCCCCCACATGCGCGCGAATTTATTTGAATTTGCGCAATAAGTGCTGTAACTGAGTACCTAAAATTAACTGACGGTGAAACTACGTGAATAAAAATGCCATTCCAGGAGTTTGTACACGAAGTTAATGAGAATGGGGACAAAATTCTGGTTAAATCATTAAATTCAAATACTCCAGTGAATGTTCGCTTCACAAATCAAACATCGCGTCCGGTGAACGTGTGGTGGCGTGACTATGAAGGGAGGCAAGTGTTCTACGGTCGGATTGAACCCGGCGCGGTCCACGACCAAAGCACATTCTTGACACACCCTTGGCAATTTACGGATGCGGGTACTGAGCAGTACTACGTGATCGACAACAGGAGAGTATTCAGGCCGCCGCCGGAGCTCGCGGGTCAGACCCCGAACTTCAACGTCACTGCACCCCAGTGTTGTCCTGCTGCCCATTCTTGCTGTTCCTGTTGTCATGCTGCACAACAACCGGTCTGCCAAAAGATCTATTAGATTTGAAACAAAGTATCTATTGCAGATTGCAGCTTGCATAGGTACAATGCCATGCTTATTACATAAATACATATTGTTCTGCATGAACCAATTGTCCGATAGGCTAATTTAAATACGAGTCATTTTTAAATTTTGAAAACAGTGCTTACATAGTTCTCAAAATAGAGACCTAGGTTAGCTAGAATGTTCCGATTTACGTGATTAATTTAATTCTTGGCAAATAGACACATTATTTTTAAACCGAAGTTTTAAAGTGTCCTGGGATTCTGGGTGTACGTACCTTATACCGGGTCAGGGTATTACTACTCTGAATTCAATGAAACAAATGTTTTCAATTTTATATTGCCTAACAATAGAATTTAGAAATTATGTGTTTAATCGTTTATTGTCTACAGTTATATAATGCTATCTAATTCAATTTATCCAAAATATTTTTGAGTGAATCTCTGTGAATATTTTTGAGTGAATATTTAGAAATTATTGGATTTTAGCTAGGTACTATAAAATATACTTAATTACCTACAATAGCTACAATAATTAAATAAGTAATGTGTACCTACATCAATACTTTGTTTTATTTTTCCCTATAAGTAAATGTAAATAATTCAGGCATTCAGTCCACGAATACCTACGTATATTACGCACAAGTGGTATTTAGCGATTAAAAGATCTATTATTTTTCTATTTGATAGGCTGGCAAACGAATGGATCGCCTGATGGTAAGTAATCGGTGCCGCCGATGGACACCCAAATACTAGAGGAGTTACAAATGCGTTGCCAACCTTCTTAAGCTACCTACCTAAGTACCTATTTTGGAAATTGGAAAGTGGCGAAATTGGAGAGACTGCGTGACTGCGTGGCTGCGGTTACCGGAGAACACAACGCAAGAACTGTTTCACGCTTCTGCTTTCTGCCGCCGTGGTATCCCACCGGCCTCTCGAGCCTTACTTAGTAACATGAACACTGCACTGTACACCGTACTTATAATTATAAACAGATCGGAACAGCAACTGTTGCAGAGAAAAACCGTTATTGACAACCGTTTTCGGTACCAGTGTTGTATTGCGCTACGTCGGTCATTGGGGAAAGGAAATCCTTGATAAACATTATAATATATCCATTATTAGTACGGCATGTTTTTAGTACGGCAAATTATTAAATGACTCCTCCCGCCCTGGGGTGGTTGAAAGGGAGTGCCACATTCTGACTGATTAAAAATAACCCCGTTCCTACTCTTGCTTCGAGCCCGGGCCCTGGTAACCGGCAAGGTCTTCCGCAGCTTAGGCCGTGCATTGATCCTGCTAGGCCCCATCTGTGGCAGTCTGAAGGTACTTTAAGGTGCGCGTGGAATTCGACGCGCCAACGTTGGATCTGGTTCTGGTCTGGGTTCCTCCCACTAAATCCAAAACATGTTCCTCCCGAAACGTCAAGGCATCACCTGCGGGAGCCGGAAGGTTATCTGACGATGCCACCGTGGCATCTCTCTAGTCTTTGACAGACTAGAGAGATGCCACGGTGGTCTTTTTTTTTATGGCATAAGCCGGTAAACGAGCAGACGGATCACCTGATGGTAAGCAATCGACATCGCCTATGGACACCTGGAACACCAGAGGCGTTACAAGTGCGTTACCGGCCTTTTGGGGATTAGGAGTTTGAGGATCGTTGGGGATTCAGGAATTGGGGAAATTGGGGAAGGGGAGAGTAATTGGGCCTCCGGTAACCTCACTCACATGACTCACATGACATTCGTGCCGAAGCATGGCTATCCCACACTTATTACTTTTAGGAGGGGGATAAAAACGAGCTCAACTTTTGGTTAAGATAGTCATAGTCCAGTCCGCCATTAGATTGAGCAGGAGTTCTTCTCACCACACACTGATCTGACTCATCAAACTATTTTCCTTGTACATTTTTCACAAATCGTTTGTCGTCTCACGTTCGTTCTCGTAAACCAGTCGTAACGAGAACCGTTTCGGCAAGTCATGAAAACGGTTTCGTTGTCCTTGTGGCTATAAAATTGGCAACGATCGTTGGCCCTATTCATTCCCAGTGTATCGCAGACAGTAACGCTACATTGACATTTCTCGCTATTCGCGGGAATTTTGAATTTGTTTAGTAAAATTAATTGGCGGTGAATTTTCTACGTGATAATGTCATACCAGGAGTTTGTACACGAAGTTAATGAGAATGGGGATAAATATCTCGTTAAATCATTAAATTCAAATACTCCAGTGAATGTTCGCTTCACAAATCAAACATCGCGTCCAGTGAACGTGTGGTGGCGTGACTATGAAGGGAGGCAAGTGTTCTACGGTCGGATTGAACCCGGCGCGGTCCACGACCAAAGCACATTCTTGACACACCCTTGGCAATTTACGGATGTGTACACTGAGCAGTACTGCATGATCGACAACAGGCGTGTATTCTGGCCACTGGCAGAGCTCGTGGGTCAGACCCCGAACTATAACATCACTGCAGCCCAGTGTTCATGTTACTAAAAATATCTCTGTGAAATTGTCTTTAAGGTTCGGGGATTTTTTCTTTTCAGTTTTTTAGTTCACCCGGGCCTGGTGATCTGTAACACAGGTTATACCTTTAACAGACACCAGTCTCTTAATTGTAATCTATATATATAAAATTCAAAGGTGATTGACTGACTGACTGACTGACATAGTGATCTATCAACGTACAGCCCAAACCGCTGGACAGATTGGGCTATAATTTGGCATACAGATAGATGTTATGACGTAAGCATTCGCTAAGAAAGGATTTTGATAATTTCCACCCCAAGGGGGTAAAAAAGGGGATGAAAGTTTGTATGAAACTTTGTCAGTTTTTAACTGATCGGGTTGAAATTTGGCATGCAGATAGATGTTATGACATAAGCATCCGCTGTGAATTATCTATATATATAAAATTCAAAGGTGATTGACTGACTGACTGACTGACATAGTGATCTATCAACGTACAGCCCAAACCGCTGGACAGATTGGGCTATAATTTGGCATACAGATAGATGTTATGACGTAAGCATTCGCTAAGAAAGGATTTTGATAATTTCCACCCCCAAGGGGGTAAAAAAGGGGATGAAAGTTTGTATGAAACTTTGTCAGTTTTTAACTGATCGGGTTGAAATTTGGCATGCAGATAGATGTTATGACATAAGCATCCGCTGTGAATTATCTATATATATAAATTCAAAGGTGATTGACTGACTGACTGACTGACATAGTGATCTATCAACGTACAGCCCAAACCGCTGGACAGATTGGGCTATAATTTGGCATACAGATAGATGTTATGACGTAAGCATTCGCTAAGAAAGGATTTTGATAATTTCCACCCCAAGGGGGTAAAAAAGGGGATGAAAGTTTGTATGAAACTTTGTCAGTTTTTAACTGATCGGGTTGAAATTTGGCATGCAGATAGATGTTATGACATAAGCATCCGCTGTGAAAGGATTTTGATAATTTCCCCCCAAGGGGGTTAAAAAGGGGATGAAATTTTGTATGAGACTTTGTCAGTTTTAAACCGATCGGGTTGTAATTTGGCATGCAGATAGATGTTATGACGTAAGCATTCGATGTGAAAGGATTTTGATAATTTCCACCCCCAATGGGGGTAAAATAGGGGATGAAAGTTTGTATGAGACTTTGTCAGTTTTAAACCGATCGGGTTGTAATTTGGCATGCAGATAGATGTTATGACGTAAGCATCCGATGTGAAAGGATTTTGATAATTTCCACCCCCAATGGGGGTAAAATAGGGGATGAAAGTTTGTATGAGACTTTGTCAGTTTTAAACCGATCGGGTTGAAATTTGGCATGCAGATAGATGTTATAACGTAAGCATCCACTTTGAAAGGATTTTGATAATTTCCACCCCCAAGGGGGTAAAATAGGGGATGAAAGTTTGTATGAGACATTGTCAGTTTTAAATCGATCGGGTTGAAATTTGGCATGCAGATAGATGTTATGACGTAGGCATCCGCTGTGAAAGGATTTTGATAATTTCCACCCCCAAGTGGGTAAAATAGGGATGAAAGTTTGTATGAGACATTGTCAGTTTTAAATCGATCGGGTTGAAATTTGGCATGCAGATAGATGTTTATGACGTAGGTATCTGCTGTGAAAGGATTTTGATAATTTCCACCCCCAAGTGGGTAAAATAGGGGATGAAAGTTTATATGAGCCTTTGTCAGTTTTAAACCGATCAGGTTGAAATTTGGCATGCAGATAGATGTTATGACGTAAGCATCCGCTTTGAAAGGATTTTGATAATTTCCACCCCCAAGGGAGTAAAATAGGGGATGAAAGTTTGTATGGGACTTTGTCAGTTTTAAATCGATCGGATTGAAATTTGACATGCAGGAAGACGTTATGACGTAGGCATCCCCAAGTAAGGATTTATGATCATTTCCACCTCCAATGTGGTAATGTAGGGGATGAACGTTTGTATGAAGCTTTGTCAGTTTTACACCGATCGGGTTGAAATTCGGCGTGCAGATGGATATTATGACGTAAACGTCCCTTTAGAAAGGTTTTTGAACATACTCACCCAAGGTGGGTAAAATAGGGGGTGAAAGTTTGTATGATACTTTGCCAGTTTTAAACCGATTGGGCTAAGACTTTGCATGCATAAAGTTACTATGACATAGGTATCTACTTAGGATATATCTAAAGGATATGATAAATTCCACCCCTAAAGGCCTAAAGGGATAAAATAGGGAATTAGAGTTTGTATAAATCTTCTTAGCCATTGAATGTAGAATCATTGAATCTTTTAGAATTACATTCGGTAAAACGATGATTTGGGACCTGGGTAACGTTTGATAGTATTTATCACAGATGTCCCACGGGAACGGGAACTATGCGTCAATGCCCCAGGGCTCTCTAACTCTTAACCACTGAACTTATTTTAGAGAGATTCGGTACAACAATAGTCGATAGAATAGTTTTTATTACCCAAACCTTACGTGATTGGGCACTGTACTGGTAAGA